GGCGCGCAGGCAGAGGTGGAGCCCTGCGCTCCAGCCCCGCGCGCCTTCTCGGACAGCTCCCAGCGGGGCAAGTCGCCCATCATGGAGAAGGGCATGCCGTAGAAGTGCGCGAACCCGTGCCGCAGCGGGTGGTGGCAGTGGTCGGAGGACGAGTCGCAGTTGAGACCCAGGTGCCATTTTCCTGAGGGGCAAAGGGCGAACGAAACGCATGTGGCTGGGAGCAGTGGGGGCCGCCTCTGGGTGAGCGGTTTTGGCCGCTGGCCGCTGGGCTTCGGGGGTAGCCATGCGGAGAGGTGTGGGTGCCAGTTAGCTGTTACCAGGCGCCCCAGCCGGGATGTGCCATTTCAGGGCAATGAGGCCTCTGTGTGTGGCCGCCTTGTTATATTTGAGATTCACAGGGCCGCAGGACAGAGAGACAGGGCCACCGAGGCTGTAATTATCAAAAGGAGTTTTATTGTCTAGCTCGAGCTAGGGTCCGAGCCCCCAGAGTGCCAGCGCAGTGGCCTCTTCTTCGGGCAGGGCCCCCCTCCTTTGTGTGCTAGTGACCCTTTTTATTACTCAGTTGTTTACGCACCGGTCATGCATCCGCCCCCACGGTGATTCTTACTTCATCCTGCCCCTGATAGGCTCCAACCTGTTCCGGGTCCTAGCTGAGAGACTCCGGTTTCCACGCTCTTTGTCTTTCTCCTCTGCATCCCATAATGTATTCATAATGCCTTGCGGTTAGCAAGCAAGCAGTAAACAGAAGCTGGAAGGTGTCTATTGTCCTTATAGCCCAGCATCTTACAGCCTTACCTGGCATGTTAGTCTCCTACGACAGGTGCAAGAAATGACCATCACTGCGGTTGCTTGCAAACAGCAGAGATTCATCCCCTCCCGGTCCTGGAGCCCGGGAGTGTGGGACGCGGGGGTCTCGGGGCCGCGCTCCCTCCACGGGCTCCAGGGGAGGCTCCTTCCCGCCTCTCCCGGCTCCCCGGGGACTCTCAGGGGTGTCCCTGGGCTTGTGGCCGCAGCCTCACTCCCGTCCCTGCCTTCTTGGTCACACTGCCTGGCCCCACCACCTCCCTCTTAAAAGATCACTTGTCTTTGCTCCTGGACAATTCAGGGTCACCCCCTCACCTCGAGAAATCGTGAACTTAATCACATCCACAAAGACTCTTTTTCCATACAGGGTGATATTAATACTTGCTGGTTTCAGAGTATAGCGTCTGATATATTATTTGGGGGCTGTTATTTAGTCTAAAATAAACGTGTTGTTTATGGAAGCAGAGAGAGAAAGGCAGGTACTAAACCTTGTGATGGCATTGCAGGCAGCATTATGGAAATTTTAGATAGAAGAGAATATGGGTTCTTATTTTTTATTTTTTTTTTTAAATCACGGTGCATCAGCGCATTGTATAAAATGCCAAACGTGCTGTTTCTTGAGTATCTCTACTTTGTACCCAACAGCCTGGGAAGTAACACGGTTTCCGTACACACGTAGCTTTCTGTCTACTGGAAAATTCCACAGCACATAAACGGATTTCCTTTTCAGACTTTTTAGCTGAGCGTACTTTTCAAATAAAAGTTATGTGCTTAACACTTTAAAAAAAGGTGTGCATACCTATTAGTCCAGTGGCGTAGCCTTTGTCTTGCAATATTTTTGCAAAAGTCGTCTCGTTTGTTGGAAGGCCCCCTGATACTGCAGCCCACTGCAGAACGCGGTATCCATCGCTGGAGACCATACCTTAGAGCAATCATTAAGAAAAAAAATACCGTCACACATGTGCTTTTTGTTTGTGTGTTCATTATCAATTAAAAATAAAATACCATACCTTTGAGTAATCATTAAGGAAAAAAAAAATACTGTTACACATTTGCTTTTCGTTTGTGTCTTCAGTATCAATTAAAAATAACATAACCTGGCGAAATGCTCCGTTATTTAAAATGAAATCGAAAATTTACTTCTTGCGTGGGTCTGCCACCCGGGTTGCGTTTTTGGCAGCAAAGGAAAATGATTCATTCACTGAAAAAGTTATCGAGAAGACGGATTGTCCCGTTTTGCACGGGTTATAAAGAAAAGAATTGAACGGAAAAGGCATGAGAATTGAGAAGATGGTTTTATGGTTTCCTCAAACTCTCGATATCATCCTGAGATTCCCAAACTTCTCTGCACATTGAGATCGAGTGGGAAGTTTTGCAATATGCGGATGCTTGGTTACTGCCTCAGAGGTTGCAGTTTTTGTTGGTCAAGGGTGGAGCTTGGGCCCTGGAAATGTTGGATGACTCTAATGTGCTGACGAGGTTGCCATTGACAAGATACTTTGTTACTCATAGTTCTGCAGAGGCCAGGGGTGCAAGCCATGCAGGGGGTGGTCATACAGGAAGCACCAGGGTGTTTAGGGTGGGGGCGGCGGGTGAGGCAAAGGAATGGAAAAGGATTTATTGAATTTTTTTTTTTTGAGACAGTGTCTCACTCTGTCACCCAGGCTGGAGTGCAGTGGCATCATCATAGCTCACTGCAATCTCAAACTCCTGAGCTCAAGCAATCCTCCTGCCTAAGCCTCAGAGTAGCTGGACTACAGGCATGTACCACCATGCCCGGCTAATTTTTCTTATATTTAGTAGAGACAAGATCTTGCTCTTGCTCAGGCTGTCTCGAACTCCTGAGCTCAAGCGATCCTCCCTCTTGGGCCTCCCAGAGTGCTGGGATGACTGGCATGAGCCACCCATTCTCAGCCTGTTGAATTTTTTGATGGGAAGAAGTAGGCAAGGCAAAGCAGCCAAACTCGAGATTGGGTAGTTCAGATCATTTCCGGGGTGCTGGGCAGCAGGGGCTGTTCCTAGTTGGCTCCCACCGGACCCTGCGGTGATTAGGCGGGGGGGAATAGCGGCCCAGGGGTGAGAATCTCGTAAAGGAGGTTTTTGGGTGTAGGCTATGGATTGGCCGTTTGTGTATGAGAGGCACACCCCCAGGTGAGTCTTTTGCTGTCTCTACGAATCACTAGCCTTGCAGGGAGTGTTCTCTCTAGGGCTGGCAGTCCCAAGACTTCAAAGCATCAGGATATAAAAAATAGAAACCGTGATCAGTACACCAGCGCCACCCGAACTAGCAAGCTCCGCCTGCCGTAGGGCGGGTAGCAGCCTCGGTGTTTGTGGAGGTCTGCAGGGATTCCGCTGTGCGGCCGTGGTTAAGAACCGCAGACTTGGGGGGACGCTCCGCTGCTTCTGGGCACTTGGGTACATTTAGCTCAGTCTGCTCAGAGAGCGTCCGATCCGCTTTGCAGAGGGAGCGTAGTTCTCAGCGATCAGCATTTGGGAACTCGGAGGATTCTTTCTGAGGTTTTCCAAAACGTTGAGGGTGAATTCTGGTGCAATGCAGACCAGTGGGAAGCTCAATAGCTCTCAGCCACAACAAAGGGGGCTATTTTTGCTTAAGTTGGCTGGGATTGCATCTTCCTCGGGGCATGAGATGGGGGGGCCAGAGACCCACATGTGTGAAAGTCTGCAGGGTCGTTTTGATGTGTCCATTTGGCTGGGGTACAGCAACCTCTTTATTCAAATACAACTTTCGTGTTGCCGTGAAGATCTTTTTGTGGATGCGGTTCACATCTGTCCTCAGCTGACTTTAACGAAAGCAGATGGCTCTTGATAATATGGGTGACCTCATCTTGTAATCCTGAAGGTCTTACCGGCCAAAACTGAGGTTCCCAGAAAGAGAAGGGATTCTGCCTCAAGCTGCAGCTTCAAGCCCTGCCCTGCAGATTCTGGACCGGCCGAATCCCACAAGGGCACGGTGCAATTCCTTAAAATAAATCTCTTTTAGGTAGATAGATGGGTAGGTAGATAGACATCGATAGATAGATTATTGATAGGTGATGGATACTCGATAGACAGATGACACGTAATAGATAGTAGATACATGGATGGATGGATGGATGGATGGATGGATGGATGGATGGATGGATGGACAGGTAGATCCTATGGGTTCTGTTTCTCTGGAGAACCTTCACTACGACAGGGTCCTAATCTCCCCCTGGAGATTCTCAGCCTCAGACTCAAAGCGTAGAGAAATGCTGAAGACACCACACAGAGACTTCCCAAGATTTGCTCTACTCTCTTCCCAACTCCCAGGGAGATAAAGAATTTTAACCAAAATATAGCAGACCTTTCTGCCAAAACGATCTACAAGACTTACAGGGCACAAGCGGGTTGGTTTTGGAAACCTGGTGCAAGAGGAATGTTCTACCAACGTATGCCATTCTTTAGATCCATCCTGGAGGTCTCTCTATTTGTCCAGAGAGAATGAAGGAAATTTTCTTTCCATGGGTTGGGCAGATGTGGGAAGACAACCTGCAGGGACTCCTATCTATTCTTCTTCTTCTTCTTCAGATTAAACGTATTTGGCCACTTAAACTTTTGCATAAGCACAGTCAAGATATTTCCTGATATGCCCCTACTGTGTGTACTACTAGGGATTAGCAAACTACAGCCCAGAGCCAAATCTGTACTTCTACCTGTTTTCATATCCACGAGGAGTGAAGAATGGCTTTGTGCATTTTTAAAGGGTTGGGAAAGAAATAAAGAGAAGAAGTCTATTTCATACCATGGGAAATGACATGAAATTAAAATGTCCACATTTATAAATAAAGTTTTATTGGCACACGGCCATGTCCACTGGTGCATGTATTGCCTATAGGTACTTTCAAGCTACAGTAGAGGTGAGCAGGTGCAAGCAGAGACTACCTGCAAAAATGAAAATAGTTACTAACCTGACTTTCACAGAAAAAGTGGGCACATCCCTGTTTTATGTAGCTACCCACATCAAGGAGCGCAATCTAATGGGTAACACCTGCCCAGGTAACCTGGTTACCTGTGGGGCTGTCTGACTCTTACTGACTGCAATCTGATGGTGAGAACATGCAGGGCTAGACCACCCTCTTTGCACTGTCCCAGAGGATCCACTCTTGACTCTCTGTGTGACCGGGGTTCAAGGGAGCATGAGGTTAGTTATAAAGACAGACCAACCTGATCGAACAGGGTACCTGCCGGTGAGGAAAGCGGCCCTGCTGGGCGTGCACACGGATGCCGCGGCGATGTGCTGAGTCAGCATCACTCCCTCTTCTGCAAGGCGGTCGATGTTTGGAGTCCTATGCAGGGAAAAATTAACAGCTTTATCCCTTAAAAAAAA